CATACGATCGAACTTCGCGAGGGAGGTGATGTGTGGGCGAGAATGTCAATGATTGGTTGTCTCGATGAGTCAGACATTAGAGGGGATGACAGGTGTTATGTGTGTTATATATATATTTCCCTATCCTTATTATGTATGGAACTTATTGACTGTTCCATGTGTCGGATTTTGGTGTGAAATATATTGATGTCATAGTCAGGCTAATCTGGTGTTCTTGATCTGAGTTCTGTTGAAGTCCTGTAGAATAGACACTGGGTGGGAATCTAGTGTAGATATTCGTCTAAGATAAATTAACGTCCCACATACGTGTAAGTAGTAAAAGGACTGTTATAACCAGAAACCCCTAAAGTTATAACCAGCATCCTCTCTCTCTCTCTCATACGTTTATAACAATTGGCGACGGCATACATACGTTTATAACAGGTTGTTAGAATGGGCATCGGCCTCGTGACTTTCTAAGAACCTCGGCTTTCATCATGAAGCGTCATAGTCCTTCCTTCAACGCGTAGGGTAGAGTTTAAGTGGTTTAGATTGTTTATTCTGGTTAACGTTGTTTTAGCGAGGTTGTTTTCTACGGGATATGGTTGCCGATTCTACTCTCAATCCCTTTTTACCCGGTCTTGGGACCGTCAGTAGCCCTAGAAGAGTTACAGGCGGAGTTAAATGCTAGAAAAAGATAGCAAATATGAAGGGAGTGGTGACCAGCAACCTATATTTATATCACGGGATACGTAAGTGCAAACCTATGTGCTATCGGTGTGCATATAACGTTTATTCATTCTAAATGAGACACCTGCATTAGAAGACCCTGGTATTAGATTTTGTTATACCGGTTCGTGGTTTCTTCACAACCCCATGCTGATAATTATCATATGCTCATTTGTGGGCAACTTCAAAAAGAATTTCTAATGGAAAGCTGTGAATAGTGGAGTTCAATCCTGTCGATTGTGACGGAGTTACTTGCTAAAGATAGATGATGCACGTGAAATATTATGGATCGGTTGAAGTTAGACTTCCGCACTATTGCATAACAGCTTAATGGTCTGGATGTTAAGTGTTCGCGCATGATACTGAAAGTCCCTGGTTCAATCCGCGGTTCCGAGATCGTGAATGCGTCCTGCTGTGGAGTCTCATAATAGATCCGAACGTTCATTTAGTGCTTTTTTCATTTTAAACGGTTGTTCAACTTAGATTGGTTTATGATCTCGATACAAGTTTTACGTATCAAATCAAAGAAATATTTTCTTGTTTTTGTTCTTATTTTCTTTATTTTTCCTGCACATTTTCCTCACTTTTATTGACCATAATTTACAGTTAATATTCAGGACATTAAAATAAATAATGTGATGCTAATTAATCAGTTGAAACGACTTAACAAATATTTTTTCTACTTTCGAATACTAGTTATAGTAAGAACAGTAGTTGTAAAATCTATTTACAAATAGTGCCAATTTAAAACAATTGTACTTTTCTTGACAAAATCAGGACTGATTTGATACAAAACATTGTTTCTCAGCTGATAAACTATTTGATCAAGAATAATTCGACTAACATAACTGCAAAAATATCACTGAATTCTCGTCACACAACTTATCTATCAATGTATCTATTATATAAGAATAATTTATTACTATTTCGATTGTTATACAGAACTTAGTACAACAAATGGTTAATTACAACAGGTGTAAGTCATTAAGCTGTATCGATTCTTTATTGTTAAATATTTTATAAACTCCAATATTTTCGTATTACTCCAACATTTACAATAACAAAAGTTGTGTTCATTCCATTGACAACATTCTTTGAATGTTTTTTAGGTGTACTACGGTCCAGTAAAAAAGAATGTATATAGAAATGAATTATGGCAATAATTTGCAAATCATTCTAAACAATTTTTAATGTTTACTAACCAAAAGTTTTTTTAATATATGGTAAAAATTGAGTTTATGTCTATCACAATGAAAAACAAGTTTTACAAATAAAATAGGTTATGTATGATTAGTAATGGAATTATCTGGTATTTGTCGAATGGATGTACTTACATTCTCTGTACTTAAGTTTATATTGAGATTCCAACTTAGTATGTTTCGTTTTAAATACTAACGCGTTGACCACTGATGTACTGCCTCCTTTGACACGATTATATCCGCAGCTCAACGGAAAATTCCAAAGATTATAGACTCAACAAAATAATTCGAATAAGTGTTAAATTTTTGGAAAATATTTTTTTATAAAATACCACTTAAACATGTTTTTTTTTCTAAAAACCCTGATTCATGACAAACTGTCATAAAGTAGGATTCTTTATTGTGTATGTTATATCTAGAACTTTGATTCTTGCTATACCACGCACAACTTCAGCACTCGAACTCTAGAACCCTCCAAGTCACAAGTTAGAAGACAACAGACTAGTGGGAAGGAATTTTATTCCAAACATTGTCAAATATGGTACAAATCACTCACATATTTATAGTTTTCAGTAAAAACGAAATCATCATTACAGCCATCCGATCCGCATGCAGTGGTTTTTAGCATTTGTCCAAAAGGTAAACTACGCACCGATGTTCTGGAATGTTCTTCCAAAAGATAATCGAATGAAATGTCTTCGGCTCTCTTCGAGCATCTCAGTGCTTCCGTGAGTTCACCAGGGGCCGTCCCCGCAGTTTAATGAAGGACAGTTAAGAACTGTCCAACAGATAAATAAGATATCGATCAATCATCAATTATAATGGTAATATGGGGCTGGATGTGTTATCTGTTCATAAGATCGGATTATTGACATGAGCTGTATAATTTATTCTTCATCTACTAAAACAATATCCTTATTAACAGAAAAATAAACATTATTCGTGTTATAAAACAATTGAAGCAAACTGATTTTGTTGATCACATACTTGAATAAATTAACACCTGACTATTCGACTTGAGGATCATATCAAAACTATAAACCTTGCGTGATGAAATACTCTAGCCTTCCTATTCTAAAATGAATAATTTATCAAATGTGTTTGTGAGTTGATTAACTCATGCTACCATGTTGAAAAGTTTATTCTTAGATTGATTGTGTATATTACTGTAGAAAGCGGTAATATCTGCTAAATTATGTAATTTTCTTATCTTTCAATTAAGATATAAAGTGTTATACAAACATTATCCTTGTTCACATGATGTTTCCATTTAAAAAGACGTAGTTTCATAAAAATCCCCATTTCAATAGCTATGATGAATATTTACAATTGTTCTGAAAGATTTTCGTTTTCATAATCTAAGTAAACGAACAATCAATTGTTTATTCGGCATATTAGCATGTCAAGGACACTAAGCTGCATTGTACAATCAGAATTAACATGTTTTCTAATGTTATTTTACGGTCGTTGGTATCATATTCTACTGATAATCAGTCAATGATATTGTAGCTTATCCACTTCATTTAGTGAGCACATATATTGATTTTAGTTTTAGTAATTCATGTCAGGAAATCATTGTTCAAAGCTGATATTGATGAAACAAGGCTGAGTTCATCCGTAGTGTTTTCAGTGTTTAATAAGTGTATAATATCAAACACAATCAGTCATTTGATTGTTTGATGGGGAATACTGCATAATGGAGTGTTATTTTCATCCAAGTTTTCATTTTAAGCATTCAGCAGTGGATTATATTTATGTTCTTTATCTGACATATTCATAGTAGATAGCTGTGGATATCTCCAAAGAAAAATTCTTCTTGATAGATCTGAGAATCTATTAGTGGTTTTGGCTACCTGGGAGCGTAGCTGCCGCACTCAAGGGACAATTGCTCAAGGTTTTTCACATACTGGCTTCTTACGAGTGTATTTGTAGATATGTTAGCTCCGTACTTTCAAATCCTTACGGCTATCAAAGGAGATTCGTGGGACAATGGGAAGTTCATTATTTCTATGATCGACCTTTTCTAACCATTACCTTCCGTTGTCAGAAGGTAGCATCGGTACAGATAGTGATTGCTTTATGGGAACATATTCCTTCCGTCACATCAGCAGTATAACCACGAGTTTTATGCTTATCACTGAAAGCCTACCCAGTTATTGTAACAGTTAACTGTTCTCCAGGAGACCTATAGGTCTTGGGTTCGTTTCTCGATGGGATCGTAGGTGTTCATCACTAACTGACTAATTTCATACTAAAACGTAACAGGGGTCTTGTGCTCCTTGATTTTCACTGGTTCTTCAACCGAAATCAATCCGTGTTGAGTACAAACTATAGTTTGATAAATGTCAAAGAAATTGGATTCTGACTCTGGCTAAAATTTGTTGCGCTTAATAAAAACAAAACCCGCGGGATTTTGTTGCGATCATTTGTGTGTACTCTTGTGCACTCTTCTATCGTTTTTATCGATCAAGAGAAATTATTTATAAATAACCACTTCTACATGGAACCCATCCAAATTTCTTATGGGTTAATTTATACACATACTGCTTTCATATATAAATGACAAATCCCTTAAATCGTAGTAAACTTTGTCTACTTACTCCTCAATGTAACATATAGCCTTACAGATATTATTTTAATATTAACTCACACTGATGTTAGCCTCGAGATCTCAATAATCGCCGGTCAATTTCATGGTGATAGTACAATGAACGAAGACTTGGTTAGAGTAAACCAATTTTCGTATTATGCAAAATCACACACTGTATTTGTAAAATATGAAAACAATACATTAAATACACTATTTACCTATCTCCCTTACAAACTCCATCACTCTCATTCCTTTCACTCGATTGCTTTCTGTTTTCCTTTCTCTTCTGTTCGTAACGATTATACTATCAGTTGCTGATCCACACTACACAAGTAGAACATACCACAGCAATAATCAATAATGATAGTTTTCATTCTGTCAAGTTTAAACATTACATCAAATACATTAATTTTAACTAGCATTATATACATACATATTTTCTTAAAGTCGGCTCTGAACCGTTTTTTTTTCTGAAAATCACTTTAATATTTATTTGTGTATAGTTACGTGCAAAACCCCCTGATTTGATTAAGAAAAAACTATTAATCGATTCGCCTGTCTCATCATCATCTTCGTCGAATCGAATAGTGGAATCATCCAACCACTTCATATCATCTTCATTATGTAATAATCATATGAATAAAAAGCTAATGATAAATAAAATTGATCATAGTGAATTGATAATGCTCACAATTTGGTTAATTGAATTGGACAAAGTCGATAATGAATCAGACCAATCATCATTATATTTATCTAATATTCCACAAGAGAAAGTCTATCCACTACCTATTCATAAAGGGACAGTAAGTTGATGAAATTCAGTGTGTGTGTGTATATATATATGTATGTTGGAAGTGATTTTCTCCCTAAATTTCATACATTCCTTATGAAAATCATTAATTATTTGTATAGTTTTACGGTTCTCTAGTCGGTTAGTTCGTTAACCAAAGATGATGGTGTTTAATTATTCAACTTTCATATATTTATGTAATGACACGTGGTGTACGAGACTGATGCTGAGAAACAAACTTCCTATACACAACGCTATAACCGATTGCTGGGCGAGATAACTAAAATAGAAGTCATAAGCTCTCTCTCATTTGAAGACTTTTTCTCGATGTACAGGATCAATTTATTTATTACCTTAAACGTTCCCGCAATGAACTGAAGTTTTTGGGTTTCACTCTCTACAGTATGATCGTATATTCGCCCTATTATTAAAACCATACAAAGCTCCTAAATGCCCTGGTACGGCCGAGGGTGGGGAGAGTCAGATCTCCCTTTCGAAATGCTCACATAGCCAAGTGCGTACAACCACTGTCAGGGAGGTTCTACTCACTGCCTTCTCGTGGCACTACTGTTGTTTACGAAATTGAGAGGACGAAAAGCAGATGTCCGGAGCTTCAACCGGGTTGACGGACACGGAGAGTCCATCTAGGAGAGTTGGAAAACCCTGATTCCAAACCAGTGGTGCACATGTTCTCCAGGATCCTGAGGGAACAAATGGCGTATGAATCAATCGATGGTCACCGGCTACCATGGGACTGCATCTCCTTACGCTGCTCCACTGCCTTGTGGATTAGACCTTCGGGTCAAAGGCTCCGGGTGTAGCCCCCTAAGTAAACCACTTGCTTTGGTCTGAGCACTATCACCGCCCGCACACAAATAAAATGAAGTGATGATAATTACTGAAAATACTATTCTAGCTTCAATTAAAATTCGAACAATTCACATCCATTTGGTAACATTCATTTTTTTATATGCTACATCACTTAACTACTCTCAGTTTTGTGTATTCTTATTTTCTAACTTATACAGCAGCTTGCCTATGGTGGAAACTCTGCTCTATCTAAACGATCTTGAGTCACTGACTGGTCGAAAGTTGAATGCTACCACCGAATACGAATGCTGAAACAGTCTTTTTGAAACCACGTATGCTATTCAAACTGGCTTCCTTCAACGTTCACACACAAGTGCGGATAGGACAACAGATAGGGTTGGCTATGTTTTTAGAAAGTCTTAATATCGACGTCTGTTGTCTATCAGAGACCCGTATTCAAGACTAGTGAAGTACTACAAATTCGCTCTCCATCTGTCGCTTTGAAAAGCTTGTTTTACGTGCGTTTATCCGGGGACCCTGTGGCATTTTCATCTGGTTTTGCTGGCGTTGGTGTGCACAAAGCGCTAGAGCTGAGGCAACACTAATCAATCGGTCGTGCGGTTAGGTTAGAAAGCTCCATCAAAGTGAGAAGAAATAGGTGTGAAAAACGATGTCTTTTCGTCATCTCCCTCTATGCTCAGACAGATTGCAGCTAGGATGTGATCAAGGATGAGTTCGACCATCAGTTAAGTTTTTCCGCAGAAAGTGCGTTCGACAGATATTGTAGTACTAGCTGGAGATTTGAATGCTGAGGTCGGGCGTCTAGGCACAGAAGAGAGTCATTTAGGTGGCTGATGGGGACTTGTTGGTCGCAGGACAGATAACGGGGACTGTCTACTGCAACTGTGCACAGACTACAACTTGTTTCTGGCTGTCACTAACTTCCGGCACAGTCATCGCCTATGTGCCGTTCGGCGCTCTCCCTCTGCATCTCAAGCCTGAATTCAGATTGATCACATCGCGATCAGCTACCGCTGGCGTGGCTGTGTACAAGACTGTCGCTCATTTTGGAGTGCCTATCTGAACTCCGGTCATGCCCTTGTTTGCACTAATCTTACCTTACTTTTCATTAGCCAACAAATTCACCGTCCTGAACAGATCGATGTCAGTAAATTGGTTGCAGTTTCTGTTACAACTAAATGTAAAACCGAGCTAGGTTCAAGGCTGGCTAACATCCCACCAAAGAGTACAGATGAGAGCATTGGTTGCAATTGAACGACGCTATGAAAATGGCGAGTAAAGTCGCTTGAGGCTTCGCGAAACGTCCCGCTTATAAACACTGAGTTTCTTCAAGTTTCTTACAATTCATTGAAGCTTGTCGGTCTACTCCAGGCGCCTGTGAGTTTGACTACAAAGAACAAAGCTTGCGTAAGGACCGAGAAGTTTGGTGGTCGGAGTGTACCAGAGAGTTGGGAGCAGCAGCTGCATCTGGTAACTTCCGGAAGCTCTGTAAACGGAATTCAGTGGGAAAAAAGACATTTTTTTTCTATATCATGGTCCATTGAAGGCCAGTATGCATAGCTCCGAGCTAATGACTTCATTTTAATTATCCCCGGGTGCCCGCTATGGAACTGCTTGGGGACTTGGTGTCGAAGATTTCTGGGGATAACAATACGGTGGCCAAACATGACGCAGAAATCGACAATTCTCAATGAATCTTGTCAACGGAATTATTGTAAGAGCTCTCCACGTAGTCTAGACGAAGGCTATTTGTTGAGTAAGCAGCGGTGAATAACCTTCAACACATTGTCCTTCTCACTAATTCCTTTAATGGCTTCGAAGATGTCCGGAAACTGCGTCTGCTAATACTGCATGAACCTCAGCCTCAACATCTGCGGCAGCTACAAGCACATCCTCTTCTTGTTTTGTGTGGGAACTAATTAATTTTGAGAGGGCATCTGCCTATCCAAAACCCGTTGGTGGTTGAAGTCATAGCCCATCAGTGTAGTTGTCCATCTCTGTAGACTGTTTGTTGCATATACAGGGATACCTTTCTTGCATCCCAAAACTGTCAGTAGCGGTTTATGGTCTGTTAGTAAGGTGAAATGTCTACCAAACAGCATCTTATGGAATTTTTTTACAATGAATATAATGGAGAGGGCCTGTTTTTCTATCTGACTGTAGTTTCTTCCTGTCATAGTCAGCGATCGTGTAGCATGGGCGATGGCCTTCTCAGACACAGCAGGGTAGGTATGTGAAATTACTGCCCCGATTCCGTGGTTTAACGCATCTGCTGCGACTATAATTGGAAGATCTGGATCATAGTGTGTAAGCAGAAGGTTTGATGATAGGAGCTGTTTTAGTTTTCTGAATGTTTCTTGGCGTACGGTTGACCAGAAACATTTAGTATCTTTTTTAAGTAACCCATTAAGAGGAGCACGGAGGCGATGTAGATCTGGAAGAAAAACGCCATAAAGACTAACCAGTCCCGAGAAAGAACGTGAAGTTGATAAATCAGTAGGTGGAGGCATGGACTTGATAGCCTCGACGTTTTCAAGATCGGGTTTTCTTCCGTTTTTGTCGATTATGAATCCCAAATAGCGGACTCGCACCATGTAGAAATTACATTTTTTCAGCACGTAATCTGAACCCATATTCCGCTATACGTCTGAGAACTGTATCCACCTTCTCTAAGTCAACATAGTTTGTAGCCATTATTAGTATGTCGTCGAGATAATCCGCAGTACCAGGAATATCTTGTAACAGAGTATCCATAACTTGTCTTTACTCCAAACGGAAGTCCGTTGTGTCGGAACAAACCTTTATGAGTGTTTATTGTCAAGTAGTGCTTACACTCTCCCGCTACTGGAATCCGTAAATAAGCTTCTGATAGGTCCAGTCTTGCAAAATACTTCTCCCCATTCATTTTCGCAAATAAGTCTTCTGATATCGGCAAAGGGTTCTGATGGGCTTCAAGTGTTTCATTTATTCCAGTCGAATAATCTGCGCATAGCCGGATACTTCCATTGGACTTTTTAACAATTACTATTGGTGCTACCCAATCAGGAAAGTTCACTGGTTCTATAATTCCACTTCTTGTTCAACAATGGGTAGCGCTGCATAAGGTACAGGTCTTTTAGGTCGGAAGTAGCGCCAGGTTTGATGGTTAACTCTGCTTTGGCCTTCGCACATTCTCCCAGTTCTTTAAACGCGTTGTGGTGTCTTTGTAGCACCGCATTTTCGTGGTTCCGCTCTAAGGAGTTATCAGTCCTGAATCGTCTACCGGTGCTATTAATAGAATGGTCTGCTAGTTTAAGTGTCTCTATATGATTTAACCCCAATAAGTCGAGTGCTGAATTCTTCGTAAGATATACTGTTGCATTTGTCGTTACAGCACCTTTAGAAATAATGCATGGTACTTCCCCTCCAATATTTAACTTCCCAGTACCAGTTGTGTTTTTGGATGCACTTTCGGTCTCCCAATCTTCCTCCAACTTTCTGGCTTGAGTTGACGCTGTATCAACTTGAAGGCGAGCATGCTGTTTATTATTGTCCAAGGTTGCATACTTTCATTCGCGGTAAATTCGTACTCGGTTATGTGATACCAATATTTTGTTAGTTAATGCGCCAGATCTGTATTTCTTGAAGTAAAATTTCGAAGAATGTCGTTTATGGGTTCTTTTTCTGCAGTTTCTTTGTGCCCCTTACGATGACATTTTCTGCAACATTGTCCTTTATATGGGCAGAACCTCTTATAATGCCAACCTCTGCGTGACCACCGTGTAGATGAGGGCTGGTTGGCTGTGGGCGATACTTTTCTTGGACAGAAATATTTTTCGCTTACAACTTGAACGTGCGACAATTGGCTATTATTTTCAACCATGGAAGTATCGTGTTTCAAGTTTACCAATCTTTGACACTCCGCGATTACTTCTTGTAATGTTATGTTCGGACACTGTCCAATTTTACTCAAAATTCTGGTTCTGATATCAGCATCTTCGGAAGACTGTAGGCTGCACACAAATATGAGACACTTAAACTGATCTTCTGTCAGTGTTGATAGTTTGAACCACTCACACTCGCGGTTTACTAAGCAGGCATACTTCACCCAGTCATCATCACCTGCTTTTGTTATCTTGAGACACTGATAACGAATATTCAACAAGGATGACTGTTCAGTGAAGATTTGCGACAAAATATCAA